TTGTATCCTTTACCACTCTTATGCCTGGTCCCATGCCTGCAAACATATGAACTTTAGCATTTCTTCACTATGGAGCCCATCGAATCACGAACTCTTTGTTTCCTTCCAGAAACCGCATCTGCTACTCTGTCTACTCCTAACCTGGCTCATTGGGTCAAGTGGATTATGTCTCTGGCTGGTACTGATACTTCACTATTTTCGCTTCACTCGGTCCAAGGGGCGATGGCCCCTAAGATCTCCTTGATTGGTTGCCGCCTAAAGGACATTTTGAAAGTGTCCGACTGGTCTCCCCAGTCGACCTTCCATTACTTTTATTTTAGACCTATTCAACACTTTGCGGGGACTGTAGTTTCCCAGCTTTAACCCAGCATAATAGGAGCTTCCGTGTCTTAATATAATTCACAGATTTTACTATTAACATGACTTAAAGTCATTACTTTATTAATGACACGGAGGGGAATATTATCCCTCCCTCCCACCCGAGGATTGAGTGGATTTGGGTAAGTTGACTACACGGTAAGTCTTAGAGTATAGTATTATCCAATTTCTAAGTGTCTACAGTTCAGTTGAGACTACTCCTAATTAATATTAATATTTAGTAACCCTCCTGGATGAACAGGACAATGTCAATCCTAAAACAAATCTAAAACCCAAAAGTACTTTCACACCTTCAATTAGTGAATTATCACAGATAGATATGTTCATAAAATTGGTGTAAAGGGAGATATAAAATCTCACTACAAACCAAGTCACCAAATATGAAAATTTATCAAAAAGTGTGCGGAAAACACTACTTGAATTATCAACTGACAAGAACTTCATAAAACCCTTTGATAAAGGGGGCAACATTGTGCTGATGGATCACTCCCAATACATAGAAATGTGTATGGTATATCTAAATGACAAAGACTAGGGAGCGATCCAACAACCAACTTTGTCATGCAGTTATGCCAAATTCTGACAGAGGTTTTGAAAAATGAATTAAACTCTACCAACGAATATCGCTTTATGCTAAAGGCTAAACTATTAATGTCCACAATGTATTGTTTACCCAAGATCCACAAAGATCTACATAAACCACCCGGATGCCCAATAATTTCGGGGAAAAGATCATTAACAGAGAACTGTTGTGGACAAAGTTTTACGTCATACATTCAAGACACCAGCTCAGCGATTGAAAAACTGACTTAAGTAACATGCACACCTAAGTCACACTTGCCCATTTTAGATGTAGTCTCCCTCTATTCTAACATTCCCCATGAGACTGGCCTCCTTGTCTGTACAGACTTAATGACCGAATCCAAACTATACAGTACACAATTTTGCATCTTTATCATTAAATTATTAACCTTCATTCCTAAGCACAATTTTTTTCACCTTCAATGGCAAAATCTACCTGCAAACATGTGGCTCAACCATGGGCATGTGCTGTGCCTCTACTTATGCCAATTTGTACTTGGCTTGGTGGGAGAAACACTTCAAATACAATCAGCAAACTTTCAAAACCAACATAACCAGCTGGTATGGCTACATTGATGATGTGATATGGGAGGGCCATGAATCACTATTCCATACAATTCCATACTTGGGTGAACTCTCTCAACCATAACAACATAGGACTTCAGCTTACATCGGTATTTGGAGACAGGTCCATAGAATTTTTGGACCTCACAGTACAAATTAACTCCCAGTTTTTTGTGGTAAAATTAGGGGCCTCGGCTTATATTCGGGTCGGCTTATACTCGAGTATATACGGTAATATCGTATATTTATACTTGATGACAGATAGTATGATTTATGCATTCATCCAGTTTTATACTCAGATATTACCATATTTCTCCTCTCTCTTACAGCTTGATTTGACATTGCACCTTTACTGGCATCCTCTTCTTGTTGGTGTTCCCCTGTTCTGTGACACATTTGTCCTTTTTCGGAATCGCAAGAAAGAGGAAGTAGTTTACGCATCATCGCTTATTATGCTGGAGAGAGGAAGCTGATTGGCTGTTCCTGTCGCTAGGAAGATGCATGCTATTTATTGTTATCATACCGTTTTAATGTTATATTTGTTCTTTGCTGCTGAGGGAAATAAAGAGAGAGTGCAGCATAATACTCGAATACTCGCCTTTGTTGTTAATAAACTCATGACTTTATGTCACATTGATAAAATCTGTGAATTTCATTGTCAATTAACTTTTAATTCTTACATTAATGAATAACCCTGATTTTTAGAATGTTATCTGAAATCCCACTTTAATCTTACTAGCAATGTAGCAGTGTAATGTTTTATTTTTTTCATAAGAGAATATTATTATTATGAATCACTCATAAATACTGTGTTTCATTTGGTTGTGGAAAATATCATTGTTAGATTTTTTTTGGCAAAATGCAGCATAATAAGAATTATGAATCAGCCTCTGCTTGCCCCTTTTGCCCTTTCCTTATGGAAAAGGGAATATTCCTGCCTATAACACCTCCTTGCTGTGCGATAGAAGATCTATAGAGGACCCAAAATTGTATGTAGGTTTTCATTTTCATTTACAAAATTTAGCCCATAAAGCCTCTCTCACCTTTATTTACACTTTATAAATTATTACAAGTCTGCAGAAGAACACATTTTTTTTTGCCAAAAATGAATTCCACTTATTTAATGTTCGCAAATGTGCTGAAAATCACAACACCCCCCTCAAACAGTAAAGGTCGCCTCAATCGGTCATGCCATTCCTTGCAATCAGGGAAAGGAAAGGAGTGATTACATTTTCCCATTTTACTTTTAACATTATATTTGTATAACAGAGGTTGATAAAAAAAAAATGCCTTCTGCACAGCATAAAAAATTGGTTTCAATCTAATCAATTAGTTCCAAATTTTGTTTTTTTAATTAAGTCAACTGAATTTAGTCAATGCAGCATTTTGGCTCAAATGAATTTCAGCCAGAAAAAAAAATGGGGAAACATTTTGGATGAACCAAAAGGGTGTGAAAAATAAGCCTATCACTGCTTTGTAAAATATATACATATTATTTTTGCACCTTCTTAATGAGAAATTTTGTTGACCAAATTCTGACCGAACACAATTCTATACAATTCTCATTTGGTTCATATTCATTTAATATTTATGATATTGTGCTTTGGATTACTTTAGAGAATTTGGTTGCGTATTTTAAGCATTCTGTTTGTCTGATCCCTGCTTTATTTCTTTATAAAGTATTTCTTAGATTTTTTTTCTCTATGTATATATTTATTTAATTTAGTGGCTTTCATTTAACCATCAACATCTCTTTTATTTTGGCACCAAATTCCAAATCATGAATCAAACAAAACTAATTGTCCATGCCATTCATTTCCTAATAGTTCATATGGCTTTTAGGAGTTATGGAATTCAGACGACCCAACAATCTGACAAATAAAAGTCTAAAAAAATGTGCAATAGCACTTTTTAAATATATTTATTTTAGAAATATATGACAAACTGTTCTTACTGTATGTAGATATTATACTCAATGCATACATAATGTATATAGTACATATGCGCTGTTCGGTCTGCCCCCTATGTCATCACTGAGTAAACTTTGACCCTGTACCTCACAGTCAGCAGACACATTCCAGCCACTCAGCAGCAGACCCTCCCTCCCAGACCCTCCCACCTCCTGGACAGCATCCATTTTACATTCATTGTGAAGCTGCATTCTTAGTGAGCTGTCCAGGAGGTGGGAGGGTCTGGAAGGGAGGGTCTGCTGCTGATTGGCTGGAATGTGTCTGCTGACTGTGAGGTAAAGGGTCAAAGTTTACTCAATGATGACGAATAGGGGGCAGACCGAAACGCGGATATGTTAGCCGTCCGTGGCAATCCGTTCATCGAACCGTTCGGGACATCACTATATAGTATGTGTGCCATCACAGTCTGTGTGTCATTCCCCCAACAATTATATAAATGACAAAATAAATGAACAACAAAAATTGTGTAAATTTACATAATTAAATTTGTTAAGCTTATCTAAAAAGCAATGTATACACACAATTGTTGTTTTACTGCACATTTATATGTTGCTCTTCATTCCATGTTAAAATTAAATGTTATACCAATATTTTTACAAAGAAAATCTGCTTGGTAGTGAAAACGTTAATGTGGTGTAGTATATTGTAGGAGGCTTTGTGAAACTTTAAAAAAAGATCGTAAGGTAAAGTAATGGCTCCTTTATATTAGCAAAACCTCTAAAATGAACTGTATTGGACATATTTTGCATATTTGCATTTTGTAAAAAAAAATTGCTTTTAAAAACACTTGGCTAATTAATCAATTAATTGCTTCCCTTAACTACTTACAATTTAGAAAGATGATCCTTTAAATAATGTAACAATTAAATAATGTGATGTACACAAATATGCTATTCAAGCATACAGTAAAAAGCAAGATATCAGACTATATAATGCAGTATACGGTACTATTAAATGTTTTTATATGTATAAAAATAAGATACCGAGTGAAATCCTAATTTCATAAGTTTGTAAATGTTAAGGAGTTGCCCAAACATCTTTTTGATACTACAGATCTCTGAACTTAAAGAAGATAACAAATAAATACAATGAAGAACTTGATGTACAAGAAAATCAATGCCATTTGTATCTATAACACAACTTTATTCTAACTGATTTCTAAGTATTTTCAGTTAATTAAATATAGCTAGAAGTCAGATTGTATTTATTATTGACCCAAACATGCGTAACTGATAGGCATTAATATAAATGCCCATTTTAATATACAATCTTCCCGGAGCAAGAAAAGTAATAAAGGGCATGTCTCATAATATTTTAAGCAGGTGTACATGTAGAAGCAATCTAATTTACATACATTGATTGAAAGTTAGAAAATTGCTGCATTTTTAAAGGTAAAATAGGGTTCAAGGTTATGGACAGACTTCAGCATATATTTTATGCAAAAGCATCCAATTTCTGTGTTAGCAGATAATGATTTAAGAGTTAGCATAAAGTGCACTAGAATGGCTACTTTGAATCTTTAAAAGGAAAACTGTTGCTCTGTCTTGAGCTGTTAATTTTTGGATACTTACAAAGCATCTTTGTGACAGATTTACGAGATGGCCTTTGGACATTTACTGACATTTTATCTGCCTCCAGCGAACGATCATCCCGGAGCTGAACAGAAAAGAGGTGTAATGAGAAAATAGCAAAATATTTGTCCAAAACATATAAAATTAAATCCTTTTTTCCGTCAAACCAAGTCATAAGATTGCAACGCTCTTATCCATTCATGTGGGCTAAAAACTCCATTAAATATCTGGGGGTACAGATAACTAACTCACCCCACACATTATACACAGCCAACTTCCCAAGCTTGATTTCCTCAATAAGGACTGATTTAGAGTCCTGGGACAAACCACACTTTAGTTGGATGGGACTTATTAACATCATTACGATGAATGTACTCCCACGCATCTTATATTTACTCAATACAATACCAATCAATATCCCTTTGGAATTTTTCCAAAGGATCCAGTCCATACTCACATCATTCATTTGGGCCAAGAAAAGACCACGAGTAGCCTACCATATCGTGACTAAAAATAGGGAGAGGGGGGGCCTGGGATGCCCTAAAATCCTCCAATACCACAGGGCAACTCATCTAGGGAGGATTATGGAATGGTCTATGTCAGAGGGAAGAAAGATATGGGTTAAATTAGAACAAGCTCAAATAGAAACTCCGCTAAAAGCTTTACCCTGGACAATTCACTCTCCAAATAGCACGATTCCACACAATTTGCCCACGATCACTACGACACTCAAAGTTTGGAAATCAATCAATCAAGGCTCGGAATTTACCCCAACCATCTCACCTAAATATCCAATCTCCCACAACCCATTATTCCAGATGGATTTAGGTAGCATTATGCGTCCCTCAGGGGCTAACCAGTCAAGAGAGAGACATATAGAACTAAATGAGGTTATGACATCCGTAGGGTTAAAACCCTTAAAAGAACTCTCAGACTCCAAAAGCCAGACCATGTTGCAAACATTCCAATACTACCAACTCAAACACTTTCTGAGTAAAGAAAAATTACTAAAATGGTCACCCAGGGAAGAAACAACCTTGCACAAAACCCATGCACAAAACTATGCACAAAACCCATACCACAGAAAATAATATCTAAATGCTATCAACTGCTACAATTATCAGGTTCTCTACTCCAACAGATGAGAACAACTGGTTCCACATTTTCAGGAAAATGCTGAAAACTCACCCAAACATACCATTACAGGAAACTAACGACAAATTTCTCATGAAATGGTATGTCAGGCCAGTAGACGCCAGCAAATACTGTACACAATACTCACCTTTATACTGGAGATGTGGGAAAGCACAGGGAACATATCAACATATCTGGTGGCACTGCAGAAGGGTAGCAGGCTTCTGGAGGGAAGTGGCACGAGTAACTGAACAACTTAGCAAGGTACCCCTGGCTTTTGAACACGAAACAATACTTTTCTTTCACATTCCAATCTCACAAAACAAATTTAAACGTTCTCTCTTATACTATCTCCTGTCAACGGCAAAGGCAGTAATAGCGGGGAATTGGAAATCCCAGATCAGACCCTCAAGGAGAGAATGGTTCCTCAAAATAGATAATTAGTGATGTCGCGAACACAAAATTAATGTTCGCGAACCGGCGAACCGGGCGAACCGGGCGAACCGCCATAGACTTCAATGGGCAGGCGAATTTTAAAACACACAGGGACTCTTTCTGGCCACAATAGTGATGGAAAAGTTGTTTCAAGGGGACTAACACCTGGACTGTGGCATGCCGGAGGGGGATCCATGGCAAAACTCCCATGGAAAATTACACAGTTGATACAGAGTCTGGTTTTAATCCATAAGGGCAGAAATCACCTAACATTCCTAAATCACAATGAATATGGATTGACACCTGACATATGACATATTGACACCTTGACATATGGATTGACACCTGTCCTCAGAGCCCCTGATGCACACGGACACAGAGCAGAATAGAGACTGGTCCCCTACATAGGGTCACTTGGCAGATATGGATTGACACCTGTCCTAAGGATCCCTGATACACACTGACACAGAGCAGAATAGGCACTGTTCCTCCTACATAGGGTCACTTGGCAGATATGGATTGACACCTGTCCTAGGGATCCCTGATACACACTGACACAGAGCAGAATAGGGACTGTTCCCCCTACATAGGGTCACTTGGCAGATATGGATTGACACCTGTCCTAGGGATCACACTGACACAGAGCAGAATATGGACTGTTCCTCCTACATAGGGTCACTTGGCAGATATGGATTGACACCTGTCCTCAGAGACTATGATACACACTGACACAGATCAGAATAGAGACTGTTCCCCCTACATAGGGTCACTTGGCAGATATGGATTAACACCTGTCCTCAGAGACCATGATACACACTGACACAGAGCAGAATAGGGACTGTTCCCCCTACATAGGGTCACTTGGCAGATATGGATTGACACCTGTCCTAAGGTTCCCTGATACACACTGACACAGAGCAGAATAGGGACTGTTCCTCCTACATAGGTTCACTTGGCAGATATGGATTGACACCTGTCCTCAGAGGTCCCTGATACACACTGACACAGAGCAGAATAGAGACTGTTCCTCCTACATAGGGTCACTTGGCAGATATGGATTGACACCTGTCCTCAGAGACCATGATACACACTGACACAGAGCAGAATAGAGACTGTTCCCCCTACATAGGGTCACTTGGCAGATATGGATTGACACCTGTCCTCAGAGACCATGATACACACTGACACAGAGCAGAATAGGGACTGTTCCCCCTACATCGGGTCACTTGGCAGATATGGATTGACACCTTGTTACAAACTGCTATTTGTAACTGGCCCTTTAAATGGCAAATTGCCCTGCTTCCCTGGGTTGTGGAGAAGCCTATTTGCCAGCCTCCTCCCGCATGACTATGGCCCCTGGGAGATTGTGAAAATGTATGCACTTTTATTTGGTGTGTATGGTCCTTTAAGACTGTCGGTGGGCATATTGGGGCTTATGGACTCTTTATGTGACTGGTGCTGGCCCTTTAAACACCTTTTTTGGGACATCAGGAAGATTGGGACACTGCCCCTTTAAGGCCGTGTCCCCAGACTTGTTGGGGACACTGCCCCTTTAAGACGGTGTCCCCTGTGTCCCCAGACCTGGTGCAAACCCTTTGTGCCTGCCTGGCTATTTCCCACTTGGTTCAGTAAATGGGGCTTACTGAACCAAGTACCACACAGGCAGACCACCCAGAAGTGGAAGTGTGCAGGCAATTTACCTCCCAGAAGCTGCGGTTAACCGCAGCTTAATTGACAATGCTGGGAGGTCTTTGTTTGTTTGCCGAACACGTGGCGGCGGCCATCTTTGATCATTCGACGAGGTCAGCGGTATGTGTAGCCAAATTCATGGAACTAAAATCGGCTACACATTTCCACGAACACCGCTGAGCTCTACCTTCTCCCCTACTGGTTTTACAGCTGTAGAGACTAAGTCCCATTCGGCGATGGGACTTAGTCGTTTTTTCAGTCTGAAATAGACCGACCGCACAGCCCAAATCTATGGAACTGTTTTGGGCAGGAAAATGTGCTTGCGGTCGGTCATAAAGGGACCTCCAGCTAACTTTTTAACCCCTGGATGGATTTGGCTGATTTTTGGTTATGTTTATGTTTTAAGTGTGCTGATTCCAAATATGTAATTGTTATGAAGATGGGATGTGTAGTTTTAAAGTTACAGTGTATGGCTAAAAACTGTATTTTTACTGCCTGTGTTTAATTATGTTAATATCTTCCCAAACGTCATTTTGTTCAAAGTGGAGAGAATGTTAAAAAAATATATTTTTGTTCGGAGTGTGAGAAATGCTTTTCAGCCGCTTCTAATCTTAAACATCATTTGAGGAGCCATACAGGAGAGAAACCTTATTTGTGGTGTGTTTAGTATTGTTCTGATCAGTTTAATACCTTTCGCGTCTCCTATCAGTGGACGTGTATATGGCAGCCATTTTAGGAACCGCACACCTGGGACCCGAGCAAGGTCACCTCGTTCAACAGGCGACAACATTTGTCCCTGGAAAACTATCCTGGACATTCTGTACAATTTGTATGGATATGGCATTGATTTTTGTAACAGGGAGATGGAAGAAGAGGCTTGGTCGGTCCTCTTACTGCAAATTTGGTGCACTGCGCGGTAAAGCTAATGTGACACCAGATAGGAGTGGTGTGTTTAGTACTATTTTATCAGTTTAATACCTTCCGCGTCTCCTATCAGTGGACGTGTACATGGCAGTGATTTCTGTAACAGGGAGATGGAAGAAGATGCTTGGTCGGTCCTCTTACTTCAAATTTTGGGCACTGCGCGGTAAAGCTAATGTGACACCAGATAGGAGTGGTGTGTTTAGTACTATTTTTATCAGTTTAATACCTTCCGCGTCTCCTATCAGTGGACGTGTATATGGCAGTGATTTCTGTAACAGGGAGATGGAAGAAGATGCTTGGTCGGTCCTCTTACTTCAAATTTAAAAGCGTCTTTAAAGCGTCCTGTCCTTGCCGGCGTGGTCGTGGGAGGAGGAGGATGACTTCCACCTCTCCCCCTGTTAGATTCCCGTAGTGCTGTGACATCACCCTTATACGCTGTGTAAAGCATACTTTTTAATTTATTTTGCAAATGCTGCATCCTTTCATACTTGTTGTAATTCGGTAACATTTCCGCCACCAGATAGGAGTGGTGTGTTTATTACTGTTCTGATCAGTTTAATACTTTCCGCGTCTCCTATCAATGGACGTGTATATGGCAGTGATTTCTGTAACAGGGAGATGGAAGAAGATGCTTGGTCGGTCCTCCTAACTGGAGACTGTGTTGCTGTACGGGTGGCAGGTGGAGCCATTTATAAAGTACCCACTGCTTTGCAGACCAGGTATCAGTGGTCAGATGGACCCTTGCCCCAACACTGTGTGCCAGACATGCCATTACTTCCTTTTGCACAGTTGAGTACAGGTTGTGGATTGCCTTTTGCGCAAAGAAATTTTGGCCGGGTACCTTCCACTGCGGTGTCCCAATAGCTACAAATTTTTGGAACGCCTCAGACTCCACCAGATTGT